CGGGGCATCCCTCCAGGGAGACCAGCCAGGGGACCGGGGCATCCCTCCGAGGAGAATGACAAGGGGACCGGTGGGGCATCCCTCCGGGGACTGCAGCTGGGGGAGGCAGTGCATCCCTACTGGGAGAAGGGGAGGGGACCAGGATGTCCCTCTGGGCAGTATGGCCAGGGGACCCGGGCTTCCCTCCTGGGAGCATTGCAATAGGACCAGGGCATCCCTCTGGGGAGTGTAACCAGGGGACCGCGGCATCCCTCCGGAGACCTCATGGCCTGCCCTCTGCACCGACTGCAGTTGACCCCAACAAGGAGCGTCGGGAGGCTGTGAAGCGGAAGATCACACAGTACCTGAGGCGCGCGGAGGAAATCTTCAACTGCCACCTCCAGCGGGCTGCAGGGGGTGGTAACCCCGCTGCCACGGTGAGGGGCTGGTGTGGGGTGGCATGGGTGGGATGGCAGTGGATCTGTGGCACTGGGAAACCTGGGGGGCACACACAAAAATCAGCCGCAGTGAGCCTCCTGGGCTGCCTCTGCCAGATGCCACAGTAAGGCGGTGTAGAGAAAATGGCAAACACATCAGTTGCGGAGTGTCCCAGCATGCCGGTGGCTGCGAGGGAGCTGGCAGCCCTTCACCCTGCCTGGCTCAAAGAGCTGAGGTGGGCCCGGCTTGCCTGGGGTGCTCCCAGGACCCAGCCCACTCTAAGGTCTGTATGTTGAGCTTGCTGCCGCCATAGTGAAAATGGCCATTTTTTGGTGGGACTGAAGCCACTGGGGGGAACCACCTTGTCAGATGTTAAAAATGTCATCTTCCTCATTCTTGTTCACATCTGGGTGGAAAACAAAGACGATGGCTGCTTGCTGTATTGTGGGAAGGAGGTGGTTAATGAAGGGAGAGGGGAGTGAGGCTTGGTGAGAGGGCGGGGAGGAAGGCAACTACCTTCCATACAAATCCCCTTAGTGTTGGAGCAGTCCAGGTCCAGGTCCAAATTTTGAAGTGATTTAACCTCTGCTGCAGGCACAAGCTTTCCCTGAAAACTTCAGAAATCCAGGAACTGACTAAGAAAACAGTCCAGCTGATGTTAGGAATCAACCACGGCCATTGGAGCGTTGTCTCTGGGTGTTGGCCAGCCCAGCAGTATTGCTGCCTCCTCCGGAAAATGTGGGGACTTCTCCCATCTGTTGTCATGGACAGTAGCATCTCTAGGTCCCTCATCCTCTTCTCTCACTGCCTTGTAGGGTTACAGCAGCCTGCGCTTCCGGCCGATCAGGACGCTGAGCTCAGCAGTGGAGAACCTGAGACGGTGTAAGGTTGTGGGAGTGATCGATAAGGTAATGACTCGAGCTGGAACTGGAGGGGGTGAGGCTGGGGCTGGACCAAAGGAAGTGTGAGCTGGAGGGTCCTGGCAGCTGGGATGGGGGTGCTGGCCCCCAGCGCACCCACCAAGGAACATGAGGGTGTCTATCCACACCATTCCCACAAGGGAAAATTAGCAGGTGAGGAGGCAAGTTGGGAACTCCCTTTAGGAGTTAGTTGGGAAACCTGTTAATGTCCCCATTACTTTTGCTTACCAGAGCTCCCAAGATATTTACAAGGAGGTCAATGCATCCAGTTCTTTCCCATGCATGGAATTGTGCTTGATGCCTAGGTACCGCGATGGTGGACTCCTATGGATAATCTAGACTTCAGCAGAAGACAAGCTATCTGGATGAATGAACTAACTAGTTCATGATTTTGGAGCAAAGCCGCCAGGCTTACCATCTCCATACCCACACTGGCACATTGCTCTCCTGCCGCTCACACTTCTCAGCTTGTGAGGGCTGATGGGGTCCTCCTGTCCTGCTGAGGCCCGGGCGGGCAGCCTGGCGGACCTCACAGAGCCCAGAAGGAGAAGCGCAAAACCCTTCTTTGTGAAGGAAGCAAAAATGGTGTGGGAGTCCCCTCTTGGTTTAATTAACTTTCTTTCTACTCCCTGGCTGCATGGCTATCTCCTTGCTACTAACCTGTGTTTTGCCTTTCAAGACTAGGGGTCTGAGCACCACCAGACTCCTGTAGTTGGATGGGAGTTCGTTTTGGTTCCAGAGCTGAGTCCCTTGGGTCATTCCTGTAGGCTGTGTTGGGGTGGGAGCAGTCGCTGCTCCTGACTGGTACTGTATGTACTACTCACAGGTGCAGATCGTCCAGGATTTGGCCACTGGTGGGACCTTTATACTTAAGGTGGGTGTTTTCAGTTTCATCTGCCTGCTTCTTCCTATCATGCCAGAGCCTCCTTGTCCAAGCAGACAGGGGCAGGTTAGAGGACCAAAAAAATAGCAGCTCACAGAGGTGTTGGAGGAAGTTCCTTGTTCATAAAGCTTTTGTTGGCCGCCTCAGACATCTTCTGTGGTCAGAAGGGAAGTGGTTCTCCTCGGTCATCTCTTTCTCTGCCTTGTAATGCTGCAAGCCAAGCCTTATGCCCACATCAGTCTGGGTCAACCCCTGACACATTGTGGGTGAGGTAGGTGAGGGCCCCTCGGTACAAGTCCTAGGGCATTTTCCAGTGCCTTTGGAACTAAAAATAACGGACTTTAATAATTGGACAGGGAGGCTGTGGCATGACAGGGAAAAGCATCGGTTCCAGAGGGGAGGGGAGAGGGGGCTGGGATGGCAGGTTCCTGTCTGAAGGGAGTAGGGGCAGTTGTGGGGGAAGGCAGTGTCCTCTGGGTCCCACAGTGCAGGTGGGGAGGGCTCTGCCTTGGCAGAGCTTTGCAGAGCCCTGCCTTATCAGAGCTGGGTGCTGGGGACTGACAGACCTCTCGGCATGAGCTGGAGGTTTCCACAGACGGGGAGCTCCATCGCAGGTGACCAGCCATGGGGCTTGGCAGATGGCACGCCACGTTTCTGGCTGGCCTCCTGCCCTGGCAGGTGCTACGTTGCAGGGAGTCCAAGTCCCTACCATGCTGTAACACCCATCTACCTGTACCTCCTCAGAGCCTCCCCAAATCCCATGTTGAGACGCGCGAACGACAGACCATCATACCTCATGGGGTCCCCTTCATGGTCAAGCTGTTGTGCTACTATGTGAGTGAGGATTCCATCTTCCTCCACCTGGAGCATGTGCAGGGTGAGTGGGGACAGCATTGCCTCCTGTCCGTGGAGAACCCTGCTCTTATCCCCAACATCCCTTTCTTCATAATCTCAAATGTGTTTCTCCCACTGCTTTGGGACTGTGTTTAATAGTGACAGCACAAGCTGTCTTCTTTATAGAAGGGTGGTGGGTACCAGGGCTTAGAGACTTTGTGGAAGGAGCTGCTCAGCTGTGTTGGGGATTCTGGAGGTTTGGTAAGAGCTGACTGGGGAAGTAACCTAGAAATGAGCTTGTGGAGACCTACAAGGAGAAAGAGGTTGTGTGCGTAGGGATGTTACATGGAAACTAGCTTTAGGGACCACTGAGTCCCATGGGAGGGGATGGTCATGCCTTGAGGTAAAGAGGTTTGTGTGGTCCAGTATCTTGAAAAAAAAACTCTCTCATTTTACTGGCATTGTTTGGCCATGACAGGAAGGTGATGGAGAGGGAGAGCCAAGTGAGGTAGTTCACCTGGATGTTGTAGAACAAAACAATCTTTTGATAAGACCTTTATAAAATGTTTTTTAGTTACAAGAGAAGTCACACTGGATTTTGAGATCAGACCAAAGAGAGGAGATGGAGAATCAGGGCATAAAGGGCAGGGAGCAGATTGGCATTCAGATACAACTAGGAGGCAAAATTGAGGCTTGTCCCAAGGTGAAGAAGTGTGACAAGGTGGAGGCTTGTCCCAAGGAGCTTCTTTGCTCTCTGCTGGTTGAATGGATGTCTAGGGAGCAGCAGCTGGAGTCCAGTGATAACAAATGAAGGCTGAAGTGAAGAACACCCTCAACTCCTCATGTGTTGCTGTAGGATGAGCTTGCATGAAGCAGCTAGCAGCTGCATGTAGTGAGGCTGGGAAGCCCTGGCAGCATGCTGTGGGCTCCAGGGCTTGCTGCTCTGGTGCACTGCTGACCCACGGGCTCTGTGCCACGCTGTGGGAGCTCTCTGCCGTCTCTGTCATGCAGGGGGGAAGGGCTTTCAGGGGAAAGTGGGCATGGCAGTGGGATCAGGGGCATTTGTGAAGAAGTGGCTGGCCTGTGGCATGGAAGTGTCAGAGCTGGGATTGAGGAGACTGTGCAGAATGGGGAGCAGGGCTGCTAAAGGAGGGGGGAATGAGCTTTCGGTGTACTAGGTCCTGGGGGAGGTGTGAGCATTGAGGTGTGCTTGTAGGGCTGGGGAGTATTCTGTGTGGGCTTGAGCTTTGCTGTAGGGGACATTAACAATGCTCGATCATTTCTCCAGCGTGTGGGCCTTGGCCTGTGTCTGAATGGGCCATGTCCATAGCAGGAGAACCAGGGATGCTTTCTGCCCCATCACTTGTTCCTCTCTCTCCTTTCCAGGGGAGACACTGTGGTCTCATCTCCGCTCCAAGTACTGTGTCCAGCAGGGCTCTGCCGATTCAAACACCGTTCAAGCCCTGAACTGTGGTAGAGAGGATGGCATGGGAAGCTCCCAGGGCAGCAGCCAAATCTCCATCTTCTCTTCTCGGACAGGCAGTGGCCTCCCAGGCTTTGCGACCCACCGAGTATTGGGAAACACTGGTGCCTCGCCCCCTCAGGAGCAGTCCCCCGACCCCATGGACCCCGGCTCGGGGGACCACTGCCAGCTTTGCCTGGCTCCCGCCAGCAGCACGCGGGTTGCACCTGGAGGGCAGGATCTAGGCATGACACAGGCTGTGCCTGGCGTCATGGACCATGTTCCAGCAGCATCAGCTGAATGCCGCGGCCACCTTACCAACCAGGGCCTGGTCGTCTACCGCTGGGACACACTAACCAGTGGCACAGGCTGCGTGTCAGAGAGAGCAGCCTCCCAACAAGACCCCAAGCTTCCCCAGACACCTGCCCCCATACCGAAGACTGTGAGAGGGGGCCAGCCAGGGGCAGCGGAGCCACTGTCTCAGCCAGTGTCTGAGGTCCCCTGGGCTCAGCCCCTCCTGAGCTCAGGTCAGAGGCAGCTTCATGCAGGAGTTGCCCCGTCCAGCTCTGGCAAACCCTGTGGGCCTGACCCAGTGGTGCGGGAGCCCTCACGGGGAGCAAGCCTGACCTGCAGCCAGCTCAGTGAGCAGCCGCAATCAGGACAGCGTGGGGCTTTGGCTTCCCGTGGGCATGGCCAGAGAGCGTGGGCTGTGAAGGAGGAGCAGGTGCAGCTGTGGGCAGCAGAAATCCTCCTGGCCTTAGAGGGACTTCACCAACAGGGTGTATTGTGCCGGGACCTCAACCCCAGGAACCTGCTACTTGATGCAGCCGGTAGGTAGTGCCACAGGCTGCCGCCCCAAGGAGAAAGAGTGAGGTTGGCCTTTCGGCTGGGAGACTGCCATTTGCCCCATTTCCAGGAGACATGGACTTTCCTGAGTTTGCTTTGGGGGAGGGTGGGAATCTGGGAAGGTTTGGATGTTTCTGAGCCTGAAAGCATGGTCTCAGTTGGGATTTCCAAATGGTTATTACAAGAGATGGCTCTGCAGAGGGAGAGCCAGGGGTCGCAGCCATAGGAATGCATTGACCCTGCTCCCACGTCGGGGCTGGCTGCCTGGGAAATCCCAGTACAGGGAAGCTAAGACCAGCTGAACTGTGTCTGAGGTTAGTGTGACTGCAGTTTTTCCCCTGCTTGTAGTTACTGCCTGCTGGGGTATTCTGGAGCTGTCTCATCCCTTTCAGCCGTGGGTACTGCTGTCAGTGCAAGCTGAGTGCAAGTCCCTGCTCAGCTGGCAACATCTGGGGCAAACTGGAGAGGTACAAATTGCTTAGGAAAAGAAAAATGCTGAGAGCTTTGCAAGGGGAAAGCTAACCTTCTGCATACCCTTTAAAAACTGCTTCTTCCTCACTACAGCCTGTACTGAGGTCTGTGAACTTGGAGCCCCCCCTAACCAGTCTCACCAGCTGCAAGTGCCTGCTGGGCATCTCGGGAGGCGCAGGGCCGGGGGATGCACAGTGCCTTCGCGTTCAGGGCATGGCAGGGGCCCAGTGCTCTGGCTGTTCCCAGTTATGGGGTTATGGCTTGGCTTTGTGCTCCAACCAAAGTCCCTAAATTTGTCCTAACCTCCCTGCTTTTGTCTTTGGTGCTGCTCTGCAGGTCACGTCCGTCTCACCTTCTTTGGCCAGTGGACAGATGTGGAGCCCCAATACTGCAGCCAGGCACAGGAAGAGCTCTACAGTGCCCCAGGTAAGGGATGCATCTCCTGCCTTCTGCCCAGTGCCACTGGCTAGAAGAGAGGAGGCTTCTGCCTGCAGCGAGATGTGCCCAGCACGGTACAGACACTGGTGCTCCCTGCCTGCAGCTCTAATGCCTCTCTGGCTCTTTCTGCAGAAGTCGGGGGGATCACAGAGCCCACCGAAGCAGCTGACTGCTGGAGCTTTGGCTCTCTCTTGTATGAGTTGCTGACAGGAGTGGTAAGAAGCAGAGGAGCTATGCAAGGAGGTGGGGGAGGAGGTGACACCAGCTCAAGGGCTCCCTTCTGTGCAGGGGCTGGGAGAGTGCCTTGCCCTGCTGGCACCTCAGTGCTGTGCCAGGTTGCTGCAGGCATGTGATGCCTGTGCATGGTCCCTGGGTGTTCAGGGCCCTAGCTTTTCAAGCCTGCCATGTAGGGCTGGGGTTGTGTGGCAATGAAAGCTCAGCAGGGTGCTCCTACCCTCCTCAGTGCATCTGCTCACCATCACCTCCACCTCCTGCAGCCACTGTCCCAAAACCACCCTTCAGGGATTCAACCTCACACCCCACTGCATCTGCCGGAGGGGCTCAGCCTGGCTGCTACATCGCTGCTCACTGAGGTGAGGGGCTTGGGTGGATGGCAGGGAGGATGGGGCTAGAGGCTGGGGAAAGGCAGGCTCCTGCCTGGGTAGCTTTTCCAGTGTCCCCATCTCCCCATCCTGCTCTCCCATCCGCTTTCTCTGTAGCTTCTGCAGTACAACCCGAAGCGGCGCTTGGGTTCTGGAGGAGGTGGCGTGGCAAAGCTGAAGTCCCACTCCTTCTTTAGTGCCGTCCCGTGGAACAGGCTGGTGGGCTAGGCAGTCTGTCCTTCCCCCAGGGAGATGGCCACAGAGCTGCTGTCCCTGGCACTCATGACCCCAGGTGGCACCGGCAGCTCTGCCTACTGGAGGAGGTTTGCCTGCAAGGGCTGCCCTGGGTTTTGCAGCCTTACATGTTCTGTCTCTGCTCATGTTTGTTGGAGTCTCCAAGAGCGGAGGCTGAGGTCTGGGCCAGGCTGTCTTCTCTAGGTCCTCCCTGGTGGGGAAAAAAAGGGAGCCCGGGTGCCCACCCCCCGGGGACAAGCCATGCTCCCCTTCTGGAGCATCCCTTGCGGAGATTAGCACCACGCCCTGGGACTCCCTCCCTATGGTTTTTATCTCTGCTGTTACCACAGTGACCCTCCACCCTGTTATTTTTTGTGGCTTCCAAGTGTGTTGCCTCCGGGCCCTGCTGGCTGGTGCCCGAGCCTGGGGTCTGTGCCTATCCCTGACTGCATGTGTGAGGGGGGGTGTGTGGGGGGGTGTGTGTCAGGTGAGAGGGAGCCCTCTGCTCTTCTGCCCCCAGCCCTCTGAAAAATAAACCACTCGTTATCGCTTGCAGAACTGTCCTTTTGTTTCTGAGCTGGACCAGCCAGGCCTTAGCCAAGCATTCTCAGTGAGGGAGAGCCCCAAATCTGTTTCTCAAACCTGCCTGGGACCCCTGGGTTTGTCGCCCACCCTCTCTCATTACCTTGCAGCCAAAATCCAGAAGGTGGCACCGAGTGCCTGACCTTATCTCCCCTTGTGCCCCTGCCTGCCTCACGGCCTCTCAGGTCCACGCGGCCCTGCGCCTGCAGCTCCGGGTTGGGAACATGCACCGAGCGCCTGTGCTTTCTGCCGGCCTGGGCTTTTGTGGTCGTGACCTGCTCTGGCTCCGGCCGCCTCTGCCTGGGTGCTCCGTTGCTGTCAGGACAGCAGCCCCGCTGCCCTTGTGGCTGCGCTTTGAGCACAGTCACCCCTGGTAGCCCAAACAGCGAGGGGTTAAAGGGATGAACTCAGAGCCAGCACAGGTGGAGGGAGGATAAGAGTAAATACAAACGGGGATGAAAGGAAAAGCAGCATGGAGAGCAGGCATCTGCTAACACCCCAAAGCAGAGGATGCTGTGCTCGTTTGTGCAAGTTGAAGCCATAGGCTCAAGGATGAGCTGGCAATGGCAGTGGTGTAGACCTGTCCCCCATCTCCCAGAACTCCCTCCCATTGCCCACCCATCCCCGATAGTAAGGCATTACTGGCACCAGTGAAACTTTTCTGTGGCTAGCTGGTTCCAGCTCCTGCTTGCCACCAGCAGTAACACCCTGCTCCTTGCTGACTCAGCCTGGCTCTCGGGCAGCAGCAGGAGCTCTTGTCCACCAGAGGGAGGCAGAGCCCAGGAGAAACTCATGTCCTACCCCAGCGAAGGGAGGGGACACCTGAAAGGCTGTGCAGAAGCAAGAGGACAAACGAGGGAGCTGAGCACTAAAGCCACAGCAGGAGCAGCTAAGCCTGAGGCTTTTCCTCTCTAGGGCAGCCTGCGCTGGCTGAACCCTCCAGCAGCAGGCTCGCACCCTCGGCCACCAGCCTTCTAGTCCTGCAATTCTGGGGAGGTTCGGCAGGACCGACCCTGTGGCCAAAGCCACAGCATGGCTTCTTGCAACACAGTGCCCGGGGTGCCACCCAGGAGGGTCAGAAACAGGAAGCTCCAAGCACAGCAACTGCACGACCCTCCTACTGCAAGCCCCAACAGGGCAGATGAAAGCAGTTTGCTAGGCTGCATCATTTTAAGAGCTTGACTGTCCATTCACTCCCTGGGTAGTTCAAAGGCCTCATTTATTGCAGCTCCAGACAGAATACAGGCATTGCCCTGCCCCAGGCTCATGTACAAAGTCAAGGTGGTCCCTCTGTACCCTGACCCACCACGGAGGGCTGGATGCTAGCAGCAGTTTGTTAATCAGAACCTTCTCTTCCACTCTATTTATTTGCGCAAGAGTCGCCAGACTCTTTGTCCTTCCTTTACAGCACAGGGAAAGGGTTTTTCCTCTCCTCCTAACCTATCTCAACCAGGGACAGTCAGAGGAAAGGCAACTCCGTGCAACAGTTTGTCCATAGCCACCAGGAAGCTGTAAGAACAGGTACTAGGAACTGCTCTCCCTTCCGTCAGCGTGCCAGCTGTGAGTGCAATCATTTTCTTTTAAAAGAGGCTGCCTTCTTCACTCGTAGCTGGGAAGGGCAAAGCATTCTCTGAAGTTGTCAGAGCTGGAAAAACCCTGCCAGGATCCAGGAACGATTTCATATTGCTCCTTGGGGAAATGATCTCAGCACCACAGACAGCTTTTGCCTTACAGTTCTTTCATCTTGCCTCCTTCCTGCCTCTGCAACTCTCAACAGCCTTTTTCCCCACTTGCATGATTTACAACTCTCCCCTGTTGTAGCAGGGAAAAACCAACCTGGCTCCACACCCGTACTTTAAGAGCCTGTGCCAGGTCTCCCTCTTGGCCATCATGCCATCTGGCAAACACTGGGATTTCCTCACTGCCTGTAACAGTTCTGTTGACAGACCAAGAAAAGGACCATTTCTAGCCTGAAAACCTCATCTTTGCTGGGAAGAGCCAACTCTGTGCCAAAGAGGGTTTGAGGACAGTAGAGCTCACAGCCAGAGAAGCCTCAATTTAGCACCGCCAGCTCCCATGCTCTTTCCTCTCGCCACCAGATAACAGGCTTCTTACACTACACTAGTGATGCTGCTGATGCCCGAGTCCTGGCCCAGGAGCAGCTGCTTCCCCCCTCAAACACACCCCACCTCGCAGTTGTTGCCCAGTTTTATTTCATTTAAAATCCGCTGTGTTAAATATTGTAGTTACAAGTTCTGTGTAGAGGGTAAGAGTAATAGACTCTGCAGGCACTAGCAACCCCCTCACTCCCCAATACGTGTGCGCGCTATCAGATTAAGGACTGCCCCCCTCCCCCCAAAACCAGCAGCCCTGGGCTGGGATATACATTACAGTCAGACCTGGCCCTCCCCAGCTGTCTCTCTGCTGGTAGCAGGCCAAGCCCCCGCACGCAGGAAGCCAGCAGTTGGATCCACCATCACTGAGCTGTGACTCAAGGACGGCTGCTGGGGGCTGGTTCTTACCCCCCGTGTTGGGCATGTAATGGCGAAATGGTTGTCCCCCGCAGGAGCAGCGCCACCTCCACGGAGGTCACGGGCTCTGCCCACCCGGACATGAACATTCATGCCACAGTGACCAGGCTGGAGAGAGACAATCTCCAAGGGCAAGCAGGGGAGGGAGCTGCCACTGCTGCGTTCCTGTCTGCGGAGGGAGTGTAACGAGGGCACTGACAGAGGCGTGACACCTACCTCAATCCCTGCTCCGATCAAAACCTCTGCTGCAAGCAGCCTGGGGGTCACCAGGCTGCCCTTGGCAAGGCAGTGAGTGTGAAATATTTTCAAGCAGAACAGGGACAGAACAGCAGCCTTTCCTCTCCTCTCCCTCCCAGGAACCTCAGTGCTAGGAAATAAAGCTGAACCTGCCTTGGAGCGGCAGGGAAGGGTACCCTAGCACAGCAGCAGCAAGCAGTTTCCAGTGGTATAGGACAAGACAGAGGTGAGAGTTTTGTGCTGTGAGGGAGAGGACGCCATAACAGACAGCTCTGGAAAGGCAGTGTCATTCAGTGGCTGGCCCACTGCACAGCAACCCTCGTGAGAAACTGAACCTTCGTTAAACAGAGTAGGAAAGGAGGTAGGAGCTATCCCCACAATTCCCTCTGGGACAGCTCGGATCACAGCGGAGGGAGGGAGACTGGAATGACCCCTGCCAGTTCCTGAATGCCCTGCATTGCCCCTGCTGGTGCTGCGGCCCTGCCCTGGGTGGGTTGTGTGGGGGTGCGGCTGCTCTACAGGTCGAGCAGCAGCACGCGGGGATCCTCCACCGCTGCCTTGATCTTGCGCAGGAAAGTCACAGCCTCTCTGCCGTCAATCAGCCGGTGATCGTACGTCAGTGCCACATACATCATGGGCCGCACCTCGATCTGAAGGGGAGGAGCAAGACAGGCATTAGTGAGCTCAGCCCTACTGCCTGCATGATGCCCTCCTGCAAATTCGGGGAAGACGTGGCTTTTTCCTGTCCTGAATCCATGGCTCGGGCCCTCCTGGATGTCTCCTGCCTAGTGGGATTACCTACCCCCTCCCTCACTCACCCAGGCACTGATTGTCACCCAGGCTATGTCCACACCACGTAAGGCTTGGTCTCTTTCTGGAGCTGTTCTCTATCACAAAGGCTACAGCCTCCTCCTCTTCCTCACACCTAAGCAGATTATCCAGTTCTACCCTTCATGGACAGGACAAGGCCCCCCCTGCACACCTCAGGCAAGTACCAGTGCCAGCAGAGCTGCCCCACACCCATTAGTCTCCTCCTTCACACTAAAGCCTTTCAGAAGTTGACACCAACCCCCTAGAAAAAGCTTATGGGCTATGGTCCTCATCCCGCTGAGCCCTCCCTCAGTTCACCGAAACCTCCCATGCAGCTCCACCTACCTTGCCTCCCACAGCCACAGGCCTGTCGACGATGGCATGCATGCCTAAGATGGCAGACTGGGGTGGGTTAATGATAGGTGTTCCAAAGAGTGACCCAAATACCCCTCCGTTGCTGATTGTGAAAGTGCCACCATCCATGTCTTCAATGGCCAATTCATTCTTCCGTGCCTGGAAGAAAAAGTAAGGGCTTAGAAAGCCACACAGATCACAGAAGGCAAAGAACAAGGGTTTGGACGTTCACTCTCTCCAGGAATAAATGCTGATTGCAAGAGCTTCTTATTGATCTGTTCAGCTGAAAACCAGCATGAATTACTTGAAATGCATCCTGTCTTTAGACCTGAACATTTACTGGCTTTGGGGAAGGATTTTCTTGCCTTTTCTTCCAACTCCTGCTTTTGCAGGAGACAGACACAGGGAATTCTACCCCAGGGCAGTTCAGCCTCGGCCTCTGAAGACACACCATGTCACTAATGCATAGTTTGTGGTCTT